GCAGAATGGTGATTAGAATAATTAGATTCAACCGGCAAATAGCACATTTTCATAGACCGAATTTACAAGAATAATGAGTAGATGCATGAGTACCACTGTTTGCGACACCCAGCCATATCGTTCAGTGTCTCTAACCATCGGTGACCATGATCTCTGGGCCCCCATCCAGGGTGCCTAACGGGCCCTATGTGAGTTAGTCTCCTGGTTAGAGTTTTCCCACCCTCATGCCAGCCTTAGCTGCTGTCTTAGCTTGACCGCCCTTCATTTTTCCAACCGCTATTTGCCTCACCAAGCATTACTCGCTGTGGCAACCTATCGGGTGACATGCGTAGCACATGTCCCAACCAGCGTAGTCTATGGAGGTCGACTACCTGTGGACGACCGCGATTACCTAAAAGTCTACATCTAACCTCGGCATTGCTCGTCCGGTTTCCCCACCAGACTGGTGCAATGCAACGTAGACATCGGTGTTCGAACACCGACAATCTATTTTTATTCTTTTCCCGTGATGACCAAGTCTCTGTGCCGTAAAGCAGAACTGGCCGAACTGCTGCAGCATATACTCGACCCTTCACAGACAGCCGGATGTTGCGACGGTGCCACAGATGTCTCAAGTTGGCAAATGCCAAACTGACCTTCTGTATGTGAGCTGATACTTCATCTGTGATGCGTCCATTGGGTGAAATGTAGATGCCCAGATAACAAAACTTATCCACCTGCTCTATTACTTCCCCAGTTAGAGTGAGCCGCGGTGCTGGACCAACCCAGTCTTGTAGCAACATTTTACACTTTGAAGGTGCAAAACACATACCGAAGATGGACACACTAGCAATCAGACTTTCTAGAAAAGCTTGTAACTTACCTGGATCTTCACTTAGTAGCACAATGTCGTCTGCATACTCTAGATCAGACATCCTGCCACCTGGAAGAAAATCGATGCCGCTATCCTCACACAAGAATAGGGCTGTTTCCATAATCAAATCTATAACAAAGTTAAATAGAAAAGGAGAAAGAGGGCAACCCTGACGAACACCACTTTCCTTGGTGAACTCGGGCGAAAAAGTACCGTAAGCCCGGACTCGACTTCGGTTATCAGTATAAGGAGATCATAATATTAAAATTAACTTCTCAGACACACCTTTCAGAGAAAGGCAGCACCAGAGTTTAGAGCGGTCGACTGAGTCGAAAGCCTCTTTGAGATGCAGGAAGATAGAGATGGTAGGTCTACGAAAAGACTGTCGGTGCTCCAGAGGTTGACGAGAGTGAAGATGCGGTCGATACAACCTCGACCAGGTCTAAAAACAGCCTGGTTCTCACGCGTGCACCGTCCATGTGCGGCAGACAATCGGCGGATTATGATGCCAGTGAGAAGTTTAGAGACGATGTTGATTAAACAAATTCCTCTATGGTTTTCAAAAGAGGATCTGTCACCTTTCTTGTAAATCGGTTGGATCACCGATTCACACCATTCCGTTGAAACCTCTTCCCTGTCTCACACTGAGCCCTGGAGTTTTGTTAACTCGAAAACCAATGCTAATCCTCCGTTCTTAACAACGGATGGGGACAGCTCGTCTGGGCCGAGGTTTTATGCCTTTTGAGATAGCTTATTTCCCGGGAAACCTTCATTTTAGATGGAGGACTGACATCGAATGGCAGAATTTGCGCAGTCGCGGTGAATGGTGATTGTTCACATGTCGATGGGGGCCAGTTAAACTGGGCCTCGCAATGTTCAGCCCATCGATCAAGACGGCGTTGCTGTTCGTGAATCAGTGTACCATCAGATTCCTTAATTATCTCATTTACGCCTGTTTTCCTAGGACATCGTCGGATATCACCCGAGATTCCCACACCCAATGTTTCAACTCCATCATCAAAACCTGGGGTGTTAGTCTTAACCGTCTGACAACAGAATACAAACGAAAACCGAAGACGAAGCTCGTCGGTAGTGATCTGTAATCATGCCAACGCGGTACAGCGCACTGATATATGCATAAAGATCACTTAATACGGAGATCACTGACTCGTGGATTGATAAAATGCGGATTACTGGACTTCATTTTGAGTCCGGAGTCACAGTTATTACACGATTGATTGTAAATCCATCTGATCATTCAGATTATTCGGCATTTGGGAAGTGTGTGTGTGTGTGTGTGTGTGTAGGGATGGGTTGAGTGGTGGGTGCATTACAGCCTTCACCAGAAGTTGACCTCTGATTACTTCACATGGAAGGTGTGTTTGTTAGGACCGAATCGATGAGATCTCGCATGGGCTTACTGATTTTCGCCTACGACTGCTGATAAACGTGATTTGTAAAACCATAATGTGATCAGATGGATACATGCTACCGAGAGGAGGGCACCTCAAGTCAGGATCCAGTTGATTGATTGGACCGTTGATTGCACACGGGGTTGTGTATAAATTTCGATACTGTAAAGAGCACAACCCATCAGAATAGCAACAGAAATAATCATGTGACTAGTTATTGTCTTTTCCAAATTGTTGCACAAAATGTGACCCAAATTTTGTTATCACGAAAAGCTATCACATGTTAATAAAACGTGAATAGAATCAGTTGTCTGATAGGTATCATGTTCATTGAATCAATAAAATCACTGAATCAGTAAGCAGCAATAAATTGAGATTAATGCGATTTGGGTTCAGAATCTACGGAAACACCTTGTTCATACGACAGAAAGAACAACCAAAAACTTACTGTATGACCAGTAGAATTCACTGGGTGTGCGTCCAGCAGTGACAATGTGGGAGACTCGATCACATTCACGGTGGCTGATGACCTCCGGGGGAGTATAGATGTTTGTTGCTGTTGTTGTTGTTGTTGTGGTGGTGGTGGTGGTGGCGGCGTTCGTGGGCCCGGGGATGATGAGGATTGAGGTGAGCAAGAGTGTTGCAAATTCCTATCCGTCTGTGTGGCCAACTCGGCCAAACAGGTCGGAGTGAGACGAACCGCACAGATATCGCTGATAACCGGATTGGGAAATGTGTTACTTGTGCTGGCCAAACAGCTGGAGGCCAGGGCAATGCTGGCCGGATGCCATCGAAGTTGCGGGTGGTCTGTGATCGGGATCAAATCACACAGTGGTGTAGCGGATTGTTGTGAGTGTGCACAGGAACACGCTTTTGTCGCGGCTGTGGCTGCGGCTACGGCTCTGTTCTCCCGCTCCTCTCCGTCCCCGGGTATATAGGCCGAGATGAGCGGCGAGGGGTTTTGAACAATACGTGCATCTGGGCAGCCATAATCCATGGACAGTCTAACCCCAGAACTTGTGCTGTTCTTTTCGTTCAACAACGGATCTATCACGCCATCTATTTGGACAGAGTCGCGTTTAAGCATTTCGTCATGTGTAACACTTTGTCGCAGTCCAATCGAGGTTGTGTTCTCCCTCGACGACGGTGTGGTTCGATCACGTAGTTGACTTCGTCGTCGATGTTTTGAATGTGCCCATAGAATAGATGCTGTCAGGGCACAGATCAGGGTGAGAGCAAACACAGCTACCATCAAGGAGATGACAATGTTACTCACNCTGATATCTGCCCGAGTCCACATTGGGTCTAGATCAATCAAAGCAGTCAGATTCCGTCTGTCAAATCCGGTCACTGTAGCCCATCGATCGATATGCGTTGAGCTGCCAATCGTAGCATACTCGGCTGAATCAGCTGGCCACATTGCATTGATCATTGCTTTTGATATGGCCGGGGTCACATTAAGCCAAAAGTTCGAAATACTACTTAATGGTGGTTTTCCGTGATCGGTTAGTCGGATACAGAACAAATAGTATCCTGTTTGGGGTATCCAGGCAATATGCTCTGCCGTCAGATAACGTTCACCTTTTGCGCGCATCTGTCTCCGTAAACGATTGCGTACATAGCCAGTGGTTGGTTCAATATGAAAATATTCCGTTCCATTGCATCCCGGTTGTAAAAAGTAGGAAATACGCGAGTTCTCGCCCGCATCCGCATCCTCAGCATGGATATGGTACAATATCGGACTGGATACATGTGCCTGTAAAATTTGGTCTGCATTTTCACTATCCATTTGAACGAGGTCAATGAGTTTTGCGCTTGAGGTAGTTTCCACACTGAGAGTATTGCCTGATTGAATCCGATTCAGTGTCAGTTTCGTCACATCATCCACATTGATCGGAGTGTGAGTGACAGTGGAGTTCGGTTTCGGACTGCGTACAATCGGACTGTGATCATTGATATCGATGACATTGATTGTCACAGTTGCAGTTGTGGCCAGTTGAATCGGATCTCCGTGGTCCACGGCCACAATTCGTACAAGAAACCAAGGTGTCAGTTCACGATCGATGGTACGAATCGTGACCAGTTGTAGATCGTCTGTCAATTTGAAATAGTCCTCGCTATGATAAACCTGAGTAGTGATTAGCTCGGAAACGGACTGATTCAGTCCGCCGCTATTCGTATCGGGTAACAGTCCGCGAACTGTCAGTTGGCCCCCGGATCCTGTATCCGGATCAGAGAACCGTATCAATCCCAAATTGGTTCCCACGGGGCTATGCTCGACTACATCAATATGATGTGCGCTTTCCAATCGGGGCGCGTTGTCATTTATGTCCAAAATAGTGACCAAGACCAGAGCAGTGGCTGTTTTACGCCCGCTTTCTTGTCCCACCGGTCCGTCTTTAGCCATCACTCCAAACAGAATACTATCTGTCAACTCATAGTCTAGCCGTTTTGTCAGAAATATGCTCCCCGTATCCGGATCTATTTTAAAATACTTCTTGAAACTGATCACTGGACGATCCGGTTTGTGATGTCCAGTTGGTCTTCGTACGTCAAACAAACTATAGGTAACTTTGCCGAATTCGCCACTGTCCGCATCCTCGGCGGTGACAATTAGGATCAGTTTATTCACAGGTTCACCTTCACTTACCGTGATATTGTACTGATCCGAAGACCCGGAGTTTACTGGGAATCGAAAAATCGGAGCATTATCATTTATATCCTCTATGTCGACTGTGAGTGTGAATTGAATAATCTGTCTTGGTTCAGCACTATCAACGCAGGTCAATCCGTATTGCAACTGCGGGTACTGTTCGTGGTCTATGCTACTTGTGGTGAAAATACTGAAAATTGTGCCGTCTGACGAGGCTTCCAGACGCAGCGGCACCGACTGATTCGGGTTGGCTTCACAACACACAGTTTGTCGAGATATCTCGTCCAAATCGCGAACCATCAACCGTAGAGCCAATTGTCCGGGCCCGGTATGTTCCAGAATTGTACGATTGGTTTGTACCACAAGTTGTGGTGCATTATCATTCACATCGGTGACCCGGATCATCAGTTTCATAGTGGATGACAATGGTGGACTGCCCGCGTCCTGGGCGACGAAACGTAGCTCAATATGTCGCTGAGCATAGATTTCATAATCCAAAGCTTTACGTAATCGCAGTTGTCCTGTGGTGGGATGAAAACTGAAGTGATCTAGCAGGGTCAGTGGCACGTTCGGATTGCCCAATGCAAACGTGTATCGAATCAGGGCGTTATCATCCGAATCGGCATCGGTGGCGTGAACGACGTATATCGGTTTCTCTGGAACACTGTTCTCGGCCAATTGAATACTGTCAGTAGGTTTATCAAACACCGGACGATTGTCATTCAAGTCTGTGACATGAATGATCAATAACATCTGTGTGGTATGAGCCGGTTGACCCCCGTCTATAGCCTCAATTGTCAGTTTGAAAATACGCTCGCCCAGTGTCTCATAATCCAGTGTGACTCCGGAACGTACACCCAAACTGAGCTGTCCTTGAGATACGTTACTGTAGAGTTGGAATGTGGAAACCGCTATCGGGTGTCCGGTCAACCTGTATTGAACAATTCCGTTCGGATCTGAGTCCAGATCGTGAGCGGCTGGCACCTCGTACAACTGTCTCGTTGCACGTTGTTCTTCTCTGGACATCAAACCATTGTCTTCGGCAATCCACAGCGAATAGGTTGGCTGAGCAAACTGTGGTCGATTATCATTGGAATCATGCATTTGCAAGCTCACATGCACGGTGACATCGTTCAGTTTCGGATGCACGAATAACACGTCCACGGTGAAATTGCACACGATTAGTCGACAACAATTTAACGGGCCACACAACTGTTCCCGATTGTCCCGATCAATTGCGGCCAAAGTGTACAAATCTCCCGAGTCCGTCGTGCGTAACAGACGGGAGGCCAAATTGAACTTATCGATCAGTGTGGTGCTCACACTCAAATCCATTTCCGTACGAAACGGGAAAATTGGCAATTGGGATGGAATGTTTCCGATAAAATGATTCGCGGGCAATTCGTCTGGCAGATTGAAATTCACACGAAACTGATCCGAGCTGGTTCGGGTGGAACGGGAAGATTTTTGCGATCGTACCACGTGGCTGGACAAATTGGTTTTTAGTAAAATGAATAGAAAAAGAACTATCACAAAATGTGGTTGTGGACTGATTAGGATAATCAGGTTCCGGGATTTGTGCATAGTCAATGTCATATGGTTCGGTGTCCTTTTTTCTGTCTCTCTGTCCGAGGGATGCAATGAACAAACAAGTGTGTGTATGTGTGTGTGTGTGTGTGTTATCGATTCACATGTAGATTGTGATCAGAAGGAAGCAGCCAATAAGGATGAAAGCATCCACTCCGCGGATTGGTTGAAACGTAACTCAACATGACTGAACAGTCTGAAGCATTTACTCATCAACCCATTATGGGGTATCTGTAAAAGAAGAAGATAGTTGTATGAAGTGCGAGGTCAACCTGAGGTTATGGGGCATTGTAAACAATGGGCAGCGCTACAAACGTTCAAGAAAAAGCACTAGCTGAGAGTGAACGTTGACTAGACGCACGTAGTGCGGAATGAGACTGGATTTGCCTGAAAATATTTCACAGTATACATTACAAAGAACCTCACTCAGAAACGATGCAGTTGAATAAATTTATCATCGAAGAAATCACCAACTTAAAATACCTGCAGTTTCTATTCATCAGAGTGCCGAAGTAAAACCATCACTGCAAGTTAATTTTTAAACAGATCAGGATGATTTTAAACTTTGTTGATATGTCGATTGTGAAAAGTTCAGTAGCCTCGGTGGGATTCGAACCCACGCATGGGCACCGCCTACGCGTTTTGTAAAGCGCACGGTCTACCAGCTGAGTTACGGGGGCATAAGGAAAGCACTGATCTTTTCACATTCGAATTACCTCATTTGATGGACTCCGGTAAGTTTAAAGGAGAACTTGTTGGGGCAGTCAGCTTATATGCTAACTGGTGGATGCTATATGCCTCTGTAAGTTGGATTTTCAATTCGAATGTGAAAAGATCGGTGTGCTATCGGTGTGGCCTCGTAGCTCAGCTGACAGAGCGTGCGTCCATGAATAGGTTCGAATCCCTCCGAAGCTACTGAACTTTTCACGATCAACATAATAACTTCAAATCTGCCAAACAGCAATTAAAACTTTGTTCTCACTAGAATCGATTGATTTACTTTATATTCCATTTCGAGCAATTAAAAACACAATGGTAGAGCTACACTTGACCAGCGCTGAGTAGCGTGCCTTTTGTGTGCATGGTTGACCCGTTTTCTCAGATACGTTCCAGTTGGGCAGTGACAAAGGCTAATTTTACGGAAATGGGTGAAAAAGAATGAATAAATGTTTATACTTGTTCGCAGGATGTCAGTAAAATCTACTGTGTGTGTGAATGAAGAATGTGAGTGAAAACCAAGATAAAGAATTAGACACAAAGCGATATTTATATTATGAATAGTATATGAATAACTGGTCAAAATTCCCAGAAGCACACGGCTGGTTTCGCGCTTCTTGTCGCTCGTCAGGTATGTGTACACGGTACTCTTCAGTTTGGTCATTCTTATACTTGAACTCCCTATGTGAATTATGTAATGCAAATCTTATTTGCAGCTCGGGGAGTGGACTTTGAGAAGAATAAGAACCATGCGAATGATTCGGTATACGGTGTTGTGGTTTATATGCGTCTAACCTCAGCTAGCTGAGCGCTAGGGCCGATTTTCAACGTGGATTGTGAAATCGGTCGTGTGCTTCTAAGAAATCGCATTCAATCATTTCTATACTACTCATTTTAAAAAACACGGGAAATCGCCCCTGGCGTCGAGTTGGCCAAAGGTATAGGCATCTCACGCATAACACATGATACAGGGTGATTGCAATGGATCGTCGGGAGTTGTTCGTCTCCAAATCCACTCCCCGAAATGAAAACTTGATATGTATCGCATAAATACAATGTTGGTATCTTTGATAGTTTCTTGGGTATGATCTTCTACTGCTTAGTTTGTGCAGTGAGACGTTCTCCACGAAGGACTAGCTAGATTCGAGATCAAAGTGAAATGATTGGGTGGTCACCAGCGGAATGCCGAACCCCCCATTCCACAGAAAAATGTCCGTGTCTCTCTCGCTCGAGGAAGATGAGTCGCGTGTTCGCGCAGAATGCATCGATGTATAAATATATTTTCTATCAGAGCAATAAAGGGCGTTAGTTTGGACATTTGACAGTTCAGTTGCAGAAAACGCCTTGACTCACACACCTCAGTCGGTTTCCCATTGGTCCCCTTTTTCCGATAACCTAATATCATCCGTTCCCATCCAAGGGAGTTGGTAGAGCAACGTACATGCAACAGTCCACATCTAAGTCCAAAATCATGACTGAAAAACGTGAGTATCGACTGACACAAACAGATGTGCGATGATGCTCTTGGATGCGTCTAGACAAGAGCCAAGTGGCACCACAAAGAGAACTTAACTAATGTTGATAACAAATGAAGAAAGAAAAGCAAATTGATCGAGAACAGCCTCCCGAATTACCCAATGGCTTTTGAAGATTGAATCTTAGGCTACCAAGTTTAAATTCAGTCATTCTCACTCTGTCACAGTCGATTGTGGTTGTCAGTGTGCGTTGTGATTAGCAATCATGTCTTCATTTCACGGTAGTTATCTCACTGACTATATAAAATGACTTTGACTGCATTATGCACGTGTACAGATGCAGCGAAATGATTCGTTGACTGTCCAGCCTGACGACACTCCAGTTTCTGTGCCTGCCTCTCTGCGTGTTGATGTACTGCTTGCTCACCGGCTTACGGACCGGCTACGTTTGCGCTTACATACTGGAAATATAATTACTACTTAATTCACTACTTGCCTACTTATTGACTCATACGGAATACAACAACGTGAGTGCGACTTTGCGCTCAATCTCAATTTCGTCCGAATCTCCTTTTCTGACCCCATGCCTGACCAACTAACTGGCCGATCGAATAAACTATATTGTTGATCTCGTTCTCGTTGATTGTATCCCTAATTAGACTACGAGAAACACTGGGTTGTATGGGTCGGTTGTTTGAAAATCGCCTCGTTTATCCCGATGTCCCGAAATACACAGATGAAAGGACTAGAATAAGATAAGAGAAGCGCAAATGAGTTTCACAGTTGGTCTAGGAAAGTGATGGCACAAACTCAATTACTGACTGACTAATCACTGACGAGTACACTAAGCATATTAGGCTTGTCTATGAACATTGACCAAACGGGATACCTGGGTAATCATTTATCTCAGTAGACAGTACACGGTATCACAATTTTCAGTACCTCCGTTCCATTCTGTCATGCAAAACGGGCAAATGTAAGCTATTTGTTGTTTCCCAGTTAAAAGATGAACCCCCCTTTATTGGATCTTCATCCAAAAAGAATGTAGCACGGTTTTAGCGGGAACCATCTTTTTCGTTCCTTTTTTTTCTTTTCATTTTTACTTTCTTTTACAATTTTCAGGAGGGGAGAAGCGACCAATCAAAGGGCTGCCATACAGTACCTGACTGATCGTTATTGGTTCTCATTGGAAATGATATGGGCCCAGTTTGGAGGATGATGATTACCCATGTATTTGTTAACTACCTCCCGTAGAAATAGATTCTCGCACCACTATACATTCCGATTAAACTGCGTTGAAATCAATCCGTGTGCGCGTTGCAATCAGGTGTATGGACATTGTTGCCATCTTTACCGAGGAGGAGGTCAATGCAACCGAATTCGGGGCACATGGGATGGGATGTGAAAATCGTAATCCGCGACAGTCTTCTACCTTCGCAGAGGCACACACACAAACGTTTCGATCCAGCATCCGAATCACTATGCCATGCACTGGGGATAAATTCGTTGGTGGTGGTGGGAGAAGCTTTTGATTTTCCTAAAGAGTTGTCGTCCTCGTCGTGCTCTGGACAAAAAAAAACGGTTTCTCACGCATTATCAAGTGACCTGACATAGATGATCAAGAGATTCTTCGCATCGTTCTTGATCGGAATTCTTTCTACTCAAAGTGTTACCTAAAGTTTTATTGATCTCACGGTGGACTATTCGGGGCTGTCCTCCCCGGTTTCGGACTCAGAGACAGAGGGAGCGACTGACTGACTGAATACATTGTACACAAAATGGTGCCAGCATCAGCTGGAACCAGTGGGTCATGTGAAGTATCCAACTTCAGATGCAACGAAAGGAATGGAAGTAAATGTGACAACAGCCATTCAGCCTAATATTAGGTGTTTTCTTTTCAGGGACTCAATCGCTTGTTTGCTCACAAGAAATCGTTTGACTGTACCGCTCGCAACTGAACTCAACTCAGCGGTCAGTTTTCCTCTTTCACTCAAGCGAACGTTGCAGTGTTGTGCTGTTTCCGTACGCGAGCAGCCACTCCCCCTCCCCCATCTCACCGACACACACACCGGCTGGGGGGGGAGGGAGGGAGGGGGGAGGGGCGGATTAAGGTCCCACATGGTCGAGGGACAGAATAGTGTTCTACAGGGCAATTTTCTTCATTGAAACACATAGTTAGAACATTTATGTTTAATCCGTTAGTTCAGTCTGTTTTATTTTATACTATTTTGTATTAATGTACGTGATATCATTCTTTGTAGTGAATGTGTTTAGGCTTCTATGTGCACAGGTGTCTGTAATCAGTCAGACAAATAGACCTGTAAACACAAATTCTGCTGTTTATTAACGTTGCTGAGCCGGGAATCAAAATTGGATTTACTTAATTCCAACCATCGGTTGAACGACACTTCCTCCGTTCGAGTCACCACCAATGTGGACAATATTTGTGTGTTACAGAAAGTCCATGGAGAAAAACACCAATTGCGCATCCGTGTGCAGTGGTTCCATTTTGCGTTCCCACCCAGACCGACTACCAGGTATGCTTTGCAAATCAGGTAGAATTTGCCTCTCCCTCACACACACATACGTAAACGGCGATCGAGAGAGACAGTCAAACAGAGCCCCTTAATGGGACGTAGGCGACATCAAGTGCGGCATTAGAATCCCCGTTGTGAGTAGTGTGCCGGGAACCTAGCAACCGAGCAATGTGACCTGTGACAATTCAGACCCGGACTGATGTCCACTACTCAGTCCAGAACTAATCCTTACCGGCACCAAAGATCACAGGGAATAGGAAATTAAATTCGTTGGGAAAAA